GAAAAGGCTAATCAGTCGGGGAGTGGCTTGACCACCCTCAGACTTTACAGACCTCACTGGGGCTCGCTCCGCGTATCTGCAGGTCACCTCTGCTGGGGAAGGCCCAAAAGGCCGACCCGTGGCAAGCAGCTTGCGAACGAAACCGTTGAAGGCGTCATGGCACGCTACATGATAAGCGGACGGATAAGATGATTTTGGATAAGGCGCAAGCAATGTGCACCTTCAGTCGTCTCCGCATTCATTTGACTTTCGAGATGCGAAATTAGGGTATCAGGAGATTTGAGTATCGAGTCACGTCTTAGAAACGAATACGTTAGGCCGGTAACATTCTTATTCGCGCGACGCGGAGAACAAAACGAGCGGTCGACAATATTTTACAACGGGCGTGGGAAACGTAGAGCTGCCTGGGCTCGGCAACTAGAATTGCCGTCAATAATAATGTCATAGGAACGTTACGAGATCTCTGGAATCTCGAATGGGTACGACACTCGGCGAGCGACCGTACTGTTGGGTCGGAAAAACCCACGGGCAGCGCGGACTTTCCATGAGGCGCCGGACGGCCGCCCGCCCTGGTCACTAACAGTAATGGGCTGTCGTGGGATTTCTTACCAGATGCACTTGACTAGAATTTAAGAATAACATTGGGTCCCAGTATTAGGCAGGATGTGCACGTTAAAGGGTTCCATAAGTCTCCTGGAAGCGCCCCCTGTGGCGCTTCGGATACGCGTATAGTTAAACAAAGGGCTGTCGATGTGACGTCAACTTACGCATAAACAAATAGAAATCCCGTGACAGCGCATCGCTGGTCTCCGAGAACGTTGGCGACAGGGGTGAGAGTGGGACGCGAGACGCCCTGATTGGACCTTATTCCGAATCGGGGCCCGCTAGCGCACCCCTAGGCGAGCGGAGGGGTGACAGCGTGGTCGAAGAAGCGATAGCGCGAGACATCGTCGGCCGGTACCCCAAGAGACGGAGTCAAGTCGATTTAGACAACCTTCGACAAGGGGACTCTACTTCGAAATGGGCATTACATTGCGAGTCTTCGGGCGATAATTATAATTCCCAAACTGTCAATAAATTTCAAAGATCTTAGTTTTCGTAAACCGAAGAGTTTTATTTCCTATACCGTGTCTGCATGCTTTATCCCGAACAACGGAATAATTCAAGAATCGACATCGCCATACGCGAGCCCTATTACGCTCGTGAAGGAGAAAACGAGCGAATATCGACTTTGCGTAGATTTTAGGAGACTAAACGCAGTCACGATTAGGGATCAATACCCTCTTCCATTGATCGAAGATCAGATCGATCGATTGGGAGGTTATTGCTATTTCACGGCTCTTGACTTGGCCTCGGGATACTACCAGGCAGCCATGAGCGAAGAGGCTATACGGAAGACGGCCTTCGTAACCCCCGACGGTCATTAAGAGTTCCTGAGAATCCCTTTCGGACTTACAAATGCGCCAGCTGTTTTCCAACGGCTCATAAATACGGTGTTGGGACCGTTACGGAATACGGTCGCCTTTCCGTATATCGACGATATAATTATTCCGTCGAAGACTGTCGCCGAGGGATTAGAACGTCTACGCCTTGTTTTGGAAAAATTGCGCGTGACAAATTTGACTATAAAGTTGACTAAATGCTCGTTTTTGAAAACGAAGATTAATTATTTAGGAAGAGAAATAAGCGTTGCAGGGGTTAGACCCGGGGAGTATAAAATCACTGCAGTACTTAACATGCCGGAGCCGAAGAATGTTAAGGAAGTACGATAGTTTCTTGGCCTTGCGGGATACTTTAAAAAATTTATGAAGGGATACGCAAGGAGGAAGAAACAGAATAAGGTCGAGTGAACAGTCAAGCAGATCTTAACGACAAGGCCGATTTTAGCCATTTTCGACAGTACGAAGCAAACGGAACTGCATACGGACGCCAGCTCTTTGGGATTAGGGGCAATATTGTTCCAATATTCGACCGACGTGAGGCGCCAGGTAGTCGCGTATTTTAGTAAACAAACGTCGGTCGACAGACGAAAGTATCATTCGTACGAATTGGAGACAATGGCAGTTGTGCTCGCGCTGCGCTATTTTCGGGTTTACCTGCTCGGAATGCAGTGTACGGTCGTTACGGATTGCAATGCACTGCGGACGACATTCACAAAGAAGGATCTGATTCCCAGGATTGGAGGATGGTGGCTCGAGGTTCAAGACTTCAAGTTTGACATCGAGTATCGACTAGGGACGGCGATGCAACATGTGGATGCATTGAGTCGTAATCCAATCCCAACAGTCAATGTGTATCCAGTCAACATTACTGACATATTGCAAACTGGTTGAGTTTTGGTGGCTCAAATGCAAGACGAACAGCTACAACGCATACGGAAAATCTTGGAGGATAACGTTCGTAATAGCGAGACGAAGCAATATTTTATGGACTACGTCTTGAGAAAAGGGAAAGTTTGCAGACGTCTGAATCATGGGAGAGCGCCATGGGTGGTGCCACGTGCTGGGCGTTTCCAAATTTGTAGACTGTGTCACGATGACGCAGGTCACTTAGGATTGGAAAAAACATTTCGACGCATTCGCGAAAATTACTGGTTCGCAGAGATGAATGCATTTGTAAATAAGTACGTAAAGGCATGTTTGAATTGTACTTATTACAAGCGAAGTGCAGGACAGAAACAAGGCGAGCTGTATCCCATTAGAAAGACGCCGGAGCCCTTTCACACTTTACACATTGACCATGTCGGGGCGTTCGTGAAGAGCAGGAAAAGAAATCGCTACCTGTTTGTCATCGTGGACGATTTTACTAAAATTACGATCGTAGAACCGGTGAAGGACACGAAGGCTAAGCGGTGAAGATACTTTTGGATGTCCCACACCTTTTCGGAGTACCTCACCGTATAATTAGCGATAGAGGAACTGCTTTTACAGCTCTATCGTTCCAGACATTTTGGAAAGAGTATGGAATTCGTCACATATTAAATGCGGTGGCTACTCCTAAGGCAAATGGACAGTGCAAAAGATACAATCGCACGATGGTTGCATCATTGGCAGCAACGATCGCAGGAAAGGATTCGGAGCATTGGGATCAGGAAGTTGAAAAGATCCAATGTACTTTGAATACAACGCACAATAAAGGCATCGGGATGACGTCGTTGGAGGCTCTGATTAGATGCAAGGTGCGATATCCAACGGAAGGATGGATCCTACAAGAGTTGCAATGTGAAGTGGAACGCATGGACCTTGGTGAACTCCGAGAAAGGATATCAGAGCACATCACGGAAGACCAGCGGAAACAAAAGGAAAGATACGACCGACAATGACGGGCGTAGTCTATAACAGTCGACAATGCGACAGAGCGATAATGTTTGCGATTGCCGGCGCCGTTCCATCGCCGATGTTTCGGCGATGCGTTCGACAATGAAGACGGTTCGAGGTTCGAGTTAGGTCACCTCGAGACACGCTACGGTCAGCACCTCGAAATAAAAATCGTTAAAACGAAATATATATGTGGTTATTGCCGTATCCTTCCTCGATCCGAAACCACACTTTTATAATTTTAATATGTATATAATATAGCAATATAATAACGCAAGAGCAAAAGTTTGAAATTAATTAGAATATTATTTTTAAAGAGCGTCCACGTTATAATAAAAAATTGTTGACGTACAATCCCCTATTATGAAGTCAGCTGACGAATATTCTCCGTTTATTTAGATCATAATAAACGTACAAACAAAGTTTCAGCTTTCTCAATATCAGTTTTTTAAATTATAATTATACATGTGTGGGTGGCTGCCGCGGCAACATCTACCGCAAATGCGCAAGCTGACGATCATTTCATAGCCACTCACCCGCTACAGACAATGCAACTCTCATTCAAACGGTAGAAGGGAATTGATGAAGCAATTTGTCTTACGACAGATAGTATCGTGTATGGGGTGTTTTAGAATTTCGTTCGTTTTCGTCCTCAGTAGCCGTTATTTCTAAACTTTGGAAACTCAAAGGTTATGCACGCCTGTGCAACACATGGGTCCACTTGGCGAAAGTGCCGCCTTTTGCTGGGCCCACGGCATAGGTCATATTGTCATAACCTGAGTCTTGACGTCCCGTAGTAGCCTTGTCCCTACTATTGACTTCTTTCTCTCTCACAGACTGTGTTTTTTTACTAGACAACATCGGGTGGCTCGGCTCTGTACAACTAGTTTGAATCGATCAGTCGCATCGTCTGGATGCGTCAAGGATTTCAATTTTAGTTTGCGTGTGAAGTGATTATAAGTGTTTTTAATTGTTTTTTAATTTTTCCATTTTTTGTTAGTTTATTTATCTTTTTTTTGTCATTTTGTTTCTTATCTGTCCTTTTTTATTTTTTTTCCTTTTTTTATCACATCCTTTTTATTTTTTTTCCATTTTTTTGTTATTTTTTCCGTATATGAAAAGTGTCAACATGCCGAAGTATCAAAGAACGGGCCATTCAAGAACGTCGTCATTGAGGTAAATAATACTCCATAGGCGAAGTTGCAAGGAAGTATTGCGTCCAGCAAACTTGCCAACAGGTATGTGCGAACAATTTCAAGAAGGCCAGGAAAATGCAATGAGCACACTTAACGATAACAGTTCGAATACAAATGTTTGTAATAACGACGCGAGCATATTGGAATCGCTAAATCAAACAGATGTATCTCCTGTGCATTCGATCAATGCATCCAATGAGTTGGGATAGGTACCAACACTGGCGATTCAAGAGGAGCCGCATGATCTCTTATAGAACGCTGCCGCGGCTCCCCCTCGCCTAGGCCGGCCATGTGGTAGCTAATGGCCGGCCGCGTTCCGAGGGGGAAAGATTCTATCCCCCTTTACCACCTCCCAATCTGCGGTGCAGGGAAGCCGCGCATCGCACCGCTACATCTGAGCATCGCGACCGCCAGGGGGGATTTAGCTTGCCGTCCCCCCTCTTCCATCACCGTTCATCCTTGGTGATCAGCCGGCGGCGGAGGTTGTCTACTCCATCTGTGAGATAACCTCTTCGCAGAAGAATACCACCGTCCTCCAGTTCCCGTCGCTCTCCAGCATAGCCCTAACTACTGCTGGGAGCGAGAGGTCATGTCCAGTAACGGACCTTAGGACTCGACGCTGCGCTGAAAAGTCGGCACATTCCTCCAGCGTGTGCTGCACCGAGTCCTCCTCCTCGCCACATTTGTGGCAGGCTGCCGCCGCTTCCTTCCCTATGCGACACAGGTAGACACCGATGCAGTCATACTCGATGAATACCTGCGTCGCCCGGTAGGTGAGACGCCAATTCGCGAGTGCCAGTCGCCAGGCCTGGCGTTCGAATGCATCGACCGTCTTCGTCTCTGGCTCCGGCGGAGTCCTCCGAATGAGGCAAGTAGCCTGCAGGTCGAAGGGTACTTTACCCGCCAGAGCCTACACCGCCACGTAGGAGATGGTGCGGTACCTGCGGAGGGCCCTTATGACCATCCGCCTCTCCAGCCGGCGCAGTAGTTGCTTAATGCGCTGGCTTGGCATCGCGTTCGAGGCCCATACTGGGGCCCCGTATAGCATCATAGACCGCACCACTCCCATATATAGGCGGCGTACGATAGGGCGATAGGGGATCCCCAGGCTTGAGCCTTGGACTTAAAATCCCCTAGGACGAATACCGGGCGAGGAAGACAGCGGGAGATGCATCTCCCAACCTCGTCCATATACCCTTTGAAGATCGCAAGGGACCAGTTCGGCGGCGCATATATCGCCACCACCGCGATACCTCCTCAATCTACGGCCAGGAAACCCCTACCGCGTTCTAACGGCGCCAGCGGCAGAGTTCCCGGCCTCACGCTCCACACAATGGCGGTGGAGTCCTATAGGTCTCCCATCCAGTATGGATGATAGGGGACTCTGTACGGCTCCGCCACCACTGCCAGCCCGGCACCCCACTCGACCAGGGTTTGCATCAGGAGATCCTGTGCCCTGGCCGAGTGGTTCAGATTCACTTGTATAATCGGCCCCGAAGGACCCATCATACCATTTAAGGAGTGGTCTCCATGGCCGCCGTAGTATCGGCAACTACTGGAGCCACCCCGACTTTTTCACCAACTGGGCGACGGCCGGCGTCACTCTTGCAGTAGCTGGGCCTGCTGCCTTTGGCCCAGCGCTCTTCCTCCCCCTGACCTTCTTATGGATAGCGGGACAAGCCCGACTACCCAGCCTGTGCCCGGCTGGCCTCTCATTGTCCGTGCAAACGGAGCACTCGGGAGAGGCCGAGCACGTCGCCGTCTTGTGGTCCGAATCGCCGCAAGTGTAGCAGCGCTCGGACCTGTCCGCAGCAGCTGTGCACCGCTGCCTCGTGTACCCATATGGTCCCTAGGCCTGAGGGGGCGGTCCGGATATCGCCGGTCCTAACCTCCTCCTCGACGCAGCTCCCGGCCGTCGTAACCGCCCTGGCCACCTCCGCCGGGGAACGGAATCGACGAGACCACGGATTCTAATGTCCGCTCTCTTTGTGGGCCTCGCAATCCGCACCCTAGTCTCAGCCAGAGCCTCCGTCATCTTTGCGGCGAGGGCATCCGCCTTCGCCGCTCCACCTTCGCCCGGTACTTCCAGTACTAGAGCCCCGGTGACGCCCCACCTTGGTCGCACCGTGGCGATGCCAATATCGGCCAGGTTGATCTTCGACCTGGCCATGGTCATTGCTCCGGCGTACGACATCTTTCCGTCCGCCGGTACTGTCATAGTAACGGCCGCCGTGTTCGGCGGACGGGGCTTCCTTTGCCCCAGCACCGGGCTGTTTTCCTCCCTTAGTGGAGGGTGCTGCGGCCTTATTCGTGGTAGCGGCCTTTATGGCCCTGCGTCCTACCACTTGCGTTTCGCTGCTCGGGCCACAGCCGCCGGTTTCTGTGTCACCATAGTGCCGCTTTTCGACGGCCTAGATCCTGTCGGCTGCTGCCGAGGCCGCGATTGAGCGGAGTTCTCCGCCGCCCTCTTCTTCTTTGAGGGCCTCTTCTCAGGGGCGGCCCCGGATGCGGCTCCCCCCAGATCTGCAACTCCCGCTGGCAGCAGCTCCCGCCTGAAAGACGCCAATTTAGCGTCGATCATGGCGGCGATCTGCCCCAGCAGCCCGTCTCCAGATGGTGGGTTTTGTGGACATGCCGGCTCCTTGTTTGGAGCCGAAGCATGCGCCACCGGAGCCTCGACTACCTCCGCAGCAGCCGGCCGAAGCACGGCCGATATCAGCGGAGCAGTCTCCCCGCGCACCTATACGGCCTGTCGAAGCCGCTCGACCTCGGCCCGCAGCGAGCTGGCCGCGGAAAGACGTGTTCTCTCCCTCCAGCTCGCGTGTAGCGGCGCTGGCCGACCTGGTCGCCAGCTCTGACGCCGCCACCCGCGTGTTTAAGGCCGTTACTCTCAGGGCACGTACAAGGTTTCCCTTGAGCCCCTTGGAGACGGCGGCCACCCTCTCCACGTCCTGTTGCCGCTCCAGGACCAACGCCGCAACATCTGCAGTCGGCTTAGCCCGCATTTCGCGGCTATGCTTCTCCTCCTCCTGGAGGGGTATGGCCGATTTACTCGACCGACGTGGAGGTGCCAGGCATTCCTGGACCTCCCTCTCCGCTCGGTGGGCCTCAATATGTTTGGCCTTCTGCTCCGCCGAGCGGACAAAGTCCTCCACGGACCTCCCTATTTTCTTTGATGACGAGCGGCTGCTCGTCATCGAGGGAACAGACTCGAGCGACATGTTCGAGTCTGACCACTCCCCCCCCCCCCCTCGTCGCCCGATAGTGGACTAGGGGCACGGCGTTTACCGCTGCGGAGCCGGCCGCAGTCCTCCGCTGAAATCGAAACCCCACTGCGGAGCCGCATGCCGTCCTCCCCCGGCACCACCTCTGCGGCGGTAAATGGCGAAGGCGATGGGGGAGATCGCCTCTGCCCATTGTCCGACGCCCGCACCGGGGACCGATCCCAATCACTGCCGCTTCTTGCGGTTGTGCGGTGCACCACCGCAGGTCGCTTCAGCACAACAACAGGCGTTGTATTGCCGATACACGTCTTCACATCCTCCCTCTACACGCCCTCCTTCCTCAGTTTGAATATTTTTTAAAGAATCCATAATAATGTAGAAAAATGTCTTTGGCTTCGCCCTTCATGGGACCCCCACCGCAGTGGAGGATCTATCCGCCGGAAAGAAAGTCCTAACGTTAAGCGACACCAAAACCGAGAAGCGGTTTTTTAGGCGGTCACACCCTATCGATGTCGAAGTGATTCTACGAAAAATATTACGGGATAGGCCCGCACCATAAATGATGTAAAAGGTTTAACGTCGCTCCTATCGAGTGGGCGACACCCAATCCGAGTGGATGCCAGACCCAAACCTCGGGCTAGACGGTGCTACGGTTCACCCCCCCCCCCAGCTCAGGGTACGAGGCAATACTGACCAGGTAAGCTTCCATTCCTGCGCCTGGTAATTCTACTTCAACCCCGAGATTGGCTCCAATCGGCGGCTAAGTGAGCGGTTCTCCCACGATTAACATGCGCCTTCACGGGACCTTTGCCGACGTACCGAGATACGTCGGGCTTACGTTTACCCTTATTGATAACGCAGAGGTCAGGTACTAACATCACTCTCCGCCCCGTCGGGGGGCTACTACTCCCCCCTTGGCTAGTCTCTCGGGAATATCCATGGGACACCGACCACAGCTCATTCATACGCACATTCATACCAGTGTTTTGTTCGCGGGGCTTTCGCCTCGACTCCCCAAACGAAGCGGAAGCGACCTCTCAGGCGCCATCCGCTCCGCCAGAGAGCTTCCCCTATCCGCAACCCGGGGACGCGCCACGTAGGGGTTCACCTCCCCTCCCGACTGGATAACCAGCCAGGTCCGTGGAGCCTGTTGTTAACCAAATAGCAACGAATCAGCTGTTTCGAAAAATCAATATATCGATTGGACGTTGACACAGCTAACCAGACAAAGACAGAATTAATATATTTCTCGTTTCACTCATGTTGAATTCATTTGTCTTAACCCATTGATAGGATTACCCGCATACTTGAATGCAATTCACTTGATTTCCTACTCTTTTCTTAAGAGGGGTCAACGAAATAATCGAATCGAATGCAGTTGTTCAGTTTTTCAAAGACCTTTGACCGAAAACGATCGAGCTCATCAGACATGGTTCTGATCAAAAAGTTTTCGTGTTAAGGTAAACGGACGCGATATCAGACACGGTTCTGAATTAAAATCACCTATGAATTTGTCGTTAGAATCCTTGATATTCGGCTTATTCTGATTGATTGACTGAGGTCGATCATCGAGACTTCGTCAACCATCTTCGTTTTCCATAATCAATCAGTCTAATAATGCCGAATAATCTTTGGATTCAACCAATTGATGTACTGAATTACTAATGATTGGTCGAATAAAGTTCAACACGGAACTCAACCAATTATTTATCGTTCTCGACGTGCATTAGTCGAAAAAGAGTCGTAATATTGAGACTCAACCAATCGTCACGATTTCGAAATTCATACATTAAGAAAACGATGCGTCTAGGGCAGGAATTGTCAGATGCAGCCCTACCGATGAGTCTACTGACAATTCCGAGACGATACGCACGCACTCCGTAAGTTCAATCCATTTGATTCAATCACTCAATATTAATTTGGCGAGTGATAATCCGAGTGTTTGTATCTTTTTAAAAATTTCAGAAGTAAAAGTTTGCAACAGTACTCTATTGACAGGGACTGGCCACACGCAGTTAAAAAAACTGTTGGCTGTTATCGATGTTCCATGCATGTCAAATAAAACACATATAAAGTATGAAAGCGAAGTGTCTAAAGCTTTTGCTGACGCCGTAGAAGAAGAAATGTGAGGTGCCGGCGAAGCGGAAAGACATTTAGCAATTGCGAGAGATGACCGACTCGATGGTGTTTCTCATATACCTGTGATAACGAATGGTTCATGAATGAAGAGATCATATCGCAGCGGCGGTTACGATTTTCCGTCTGAAACTGCTCTTATCATAGGTTATTATACGCGAAAAGTATTATTCGTAGGTATTAGAAATAAATATTGTGTCATATGCGCACGAGCATTCAATAGAAATTCGACACCGAAAGAGCATGAATGTTTTAAAAACTACGGATGTAATCAGAGCTCCACCAGCATGGAAAGTAGCATTATCCTTGAAGGGTTTCGGAGTAGTATAGAAATGCATGGTTTGATTTACAGTAGTTACATCGGAGATGGGGATAGTAATGTTTTAAAAAAATTAAAAGATTTCCCTCCTTACACAAACATTGTTGTGCAGAAGATTGAATACACGAATCATCTTCTCCACAATTTAACAAATAAAATACGATACGCGGGCAATGGTATTAACATTGCCTCAACATTAAAAAAAAAGTTTGCAGTAATGAAAGCGTAATGAGAATTAGAAACGCTGTAGTGAAAGCTGCAACGTATCGCCGCAATACCCAAGTACCTTGGGAACACAAAATTGCTGATTTAATTAAAGATTTACGAAATATACTTAGTCATGATTTCGGTGAAAACAAAGATTGTGCCTCGTTACAATATTTTTGCGATGGAAATTCCAAACAGAATGGGGCAAATCTTGTTTCCGAATTACATGCGACGGCTCTATATGCTAATATAGAAAAAGCAATGAAACGTATGATAGAGAATGCGGAAAGTTTATTGTACCTGTATACCAGCAATTATGTAGAAAGTTGCAATTCAATTATTTGCTAATTTATTGGCGGTAAACGGCCGCATTTAGCACAAAAAAGTTTTTACCAAGCGCGTATAAAAGCATCGATCATAAAATGTAATAGTAGTTCGAAACCGATGACTTGCTGTGCAATGGATAGAGAGTCGCCAACATGCATGGTAATGCTGGAAGAAAAAAATATTGCACGAAATAGAAAACGTAACGAGCATTTGCGCTTATTAAAAGAATTGGGTTGTATTGTTCATGCATCCAAGTATTCTGGACGTAGGCAATCAGCTGATGGAGATTATGGTCCAAACGCGGAATGGCCAGATTTGGATGATAATATTTACGAACAATTATAGCTCTATTTTTATGAAAGGTTGCGAAGTCAGCAACAGACGCGGGACGTATTGGAGTTTGTTACTCGGAATCAGCATGAAAATCCACAGTGGCATCTTATACGTAAAAAATTGCTCACCGCTTTCCATTTTGGCATAGTATGTCGTAGGCGAGAGACAACTTCCTGCAGTAGTCTAGTAAAAAATATTCTATACCCTCCTTGATTTAAGAAAGATGCTGTTCAATGGGGTAAGGACAAAGAAATAGTAGCACGAGAAAAATTGCAGAAGATATTGGGAATTCAAATTAATGATTGCGGGCTATTCATTTTAATGCTGAATTCCCATACCTTGGCGCGACGCCTGATGGCACTGTTGGAGACGATTTTATCGTTGAAATAAAATGCCCTTACGCGGCGCGAGATATGACTCTAAAGGACGCAATTCAAAACAAAATTGCACGCATTCACAGCATATTTTCCCAAAGTGGTTTGAATAAAAACAACGCGTACTATTTCCATATTCAAGGGCAACTACACATTACGCAAAGAAAATATTGTGTTTTTGCAGTGTGGACGCTTGTTGACATAAAATACGTGATTGTTAAGCACAATGATAAATTTTGGAAACACAAGATGTTACCATCGCTAAAGAGATTCTATGAAAACTGCTTGCTTTCCAAAA